TCATTACCCAAAATATATATCATATTTGGGTGATTGTTCAATGGTCAACAATACATACAATTCAAAGGTACATCTGTACGTCAGCGATGATGTCACAACAAGAATTCAAGAACAGTGAACATGCAAATTAAGTTTATATTGATGGGTTCTATTACCAATAATTAAAGATGATATATGATATTTTTTGGGGAGGCTATTACCCGTTTGTTTTCTAACGCTGACCGCATTCATATATTATCTCACCTACATGATGTTAATAAAAGCTCTATAATACTGCCACTTAGAAATAAAGAAAACCATGCATATTGTACATTTCAAAGAAGTGTGTTATGGTCAATCAATTGCTTCATAATTTGATATGTGATATCTGTTTATCAATCGTTGTGGGGGTTTTATAATGCATTAAAATAGCCAATAATCGTGGACGATTGGAAGTAGTATAATTATATGTTATCCATGACTGAAAATAGCAAAATCATATGTTATTGTCACTAGTACATAAGATTTTAACCAAAGTAACAACGCATATGTTTATCTTAGTAGTCAAAATGTGTGCAATTTCCACTTTAATTGACTTTTCAAAGTCAATTAGAGCAGTTCCAGCCCAAGCCATTTGGACCGGCACCAAGTGAAAAAAATAGCCTGACACCCTGTCCATCACCTCCAACCCGCAAAACAGGCTGGCACCCAGCCCAAGCCAGGCAGCAGCCCAGCCCATTTCGGACAGACCCAGAAGCCGGTCCAAAAGGCTAGCGAGTGCACAACACGCGCGACTGTACGTGAGTAGCCGACAACAATTGCAGGCGGTGGGGCCCGCGTGTAGGGCAACTTGCGTTCGACCGGCTGAGGGCTACGTGGCCCTCCTCAGAGTCGTGGGATTTCCAACGGCTAGTTTTTGTAGGTAGTTGGATTTCCAACGGTAAAAAAAAATTTAAATTTGACTTTTAAATTGGACTGTCCGATCACAAATCAACGGTCCACGTTTTTTTCACCAAAAATTAAATATAAAAAAAAAGCTCCAACGGTCAGAAATTTGACTGTTGGCCACGTGGCAACGTGTTGGCTGTTGGATTTGATTATTTTTCAAATCCAACGGTCCAGATTAATTACAACATTAAAATTTATTAAAAATTAATTAAAAATTGTCAAAATTTTTTAAAAAAATACAGAAAAATTTAAAAAAATTAACTTTTTTTTTATTTTTTTATTTTTTTTAATTTATAAATACTTAACCCTCATCTTCCACCTTACACCACATTTCAATATTTTCTACACTTTCTACACTTTCTACATTTGAATATTTTGTACACTTTGAGAGAAAAAAATGACTTCATGGAAGCTTAGTGAAGATGTTACGTTGTGTGAATGTTGGGTTCGCACTACTCATGACCCGATTACGGGTAATGAGATGGATAAGCGAGAAATGTGGAGTAAAATTACGAAATCATTTTGCGATGTACATGGAAAAGATGCCAGATCTAGTCAAGGTCTTCAAGGTCGTTGGAAAAAACTCAACGCATCCTTTACTTGTTGGAAAAACGCCATCTCTCATGCTTCTGGTAATCTGCGTAGTGGGACAAGTTTAGCGGATGAGGTAACAATATTTTTATTTATTTATATGCATTCCACCCACATCAATATTTTAATTTATTTAATTTCTTACGTAATTTTTATGTATTTGCATTCCACGCCCATCAATATTTTAATTTATTTATTTGTGTTACACCCACATCAATATTTTAATTTATTTAATTTCTTTTATGTAATTTCTATGTAATTTCTTATGTAATTTATATGCATTCCACGTCCATCAATATTTTAATTTTGTTTATTTGTGTTACACCCGTATTTTTTAATACTACCTTATCCCACATTTTTATAGATACTACAAGCACAAGCATTCTACAATGCAAAGAACCATAACAAATCATTCAACAAATGGGAATGTTGGCAAATTGTCAAAGATTGCCCTAGATACAAAATTGTGGCAACCGGTCCAGAAGTTGTCATGCACGGTATGGGTCTACACAGTTCGCCAGAAGCAGACACAACCGAACAAGAAGCCAACACATTTGAAGACACGGAAGGGACACCTGAACAAGTGCCAGAGACCCAACCGACTCGTCAGTCCCTCAGGCCTCAAGGTAAAAAGGCATCAAAGAAAAAAGGTAGTTCTTCCAAAAACGACTACACTAAATATATGGAGGAACTTACTCGTCAAGGTGAACTGAACATGGTATGGGAAAAGGCTAGAGATGAGGAAAAAGCTACTGCTATGGCAGCAATAATAGCAGCTACTGAGGCTCGTGATGCGGCGGCTGAGAGACAAAGAGAAATAGTTAATCGAGAGAACGAGATGATTAGAGAAGCACTTCATCGAGAGAATGAGATGCTTAGAGAAGAAATGATGGCTTAAACAGATCGTGACACTATGAACAAGTCTCTAGTAGGACTGTCTCCGAATTCAAAATATTTTTGGACATAAGAAAAAGGAGATGTCGTGCGAATGAGGCATGCAAGAGATGCAGAAACAAGTCAAGGGGGTTCCAGCTACAAAAATCCTAGCAACCAAGATCCTAGCACCACATATCCTAACTCCACAGACTTTGTATAATTTCGCATTTATTTGTACTACTTTATTTAATTTCTTATGTAATTTCTTATTTACTTTTAGAATTTTATTTAATTTCTTATGTAATTTTTGTACTTTATTTAAATATTTGAATAAGATTACATAAACTCACCAAATAAACATTTAAAAAAAAAAACACCAAATAAAATTACATAACCTCACCATTTAAACTTAAAAAAAAAAAAAACAAACACACTAAATAAGATTACTTAAAACAATACACTTTATTGTTCAACCACAAGCCTTATTTTAATTATCTTCGCCTTCGTGCAATCTCCACTGATGGTCAATCAAGTCATTCTGACGGGTTATGTGCCAGTATGGCTCTTGCAATGAAGTGTACCGTTGAACGATCAATTCATTGTAACGTCCATCTCGTTCTAATGGCTCGTGTTGCACGGGATCTTCGGTCCGGTCATGAGCATAGTAGATTTGTGTTCTTGAGTTATTCATCGGATCCGGCTCGTATTCATCTACGGCATCATAATCATACTCGTCTTCAACAATCATGTTGTGGAGAATAATACACGTCATCATGATGGATCGAAGAGCCTCGACATCAAACATTCTAACTACAGCCCTGACAATGGCCCAACGAGCTTGCAGGATACCAAAACAACGCTCGACATCCTTCCTACACCCTTCTTGACACTTTGCGAAGTGTTTCTCTTTTTCACTCTGCAGATGTGGCATTGTTTTGACAAATGTTGACCACCTTGGGTAAATACCATCTGCAAGGTAGTATGGTCCCTCATATTTATTACCATTAACCCAATATGTGCATCTCGGCCCATTTCCTTGTAGCAGTTCGTCAAACACTGGAGCTTGGGCAAGGACATTTAGGTCATTCTGAGCTCCTGAAACACGAAAAAAAGCATGCCAAATCCATGTATCAAAAGAAGCCACCGCTTCCAGAATGATGCTTTTGGCTCCTTTTCTGTCGCCATAAGCTCATTGCCACACACTTGGACAGTTTTTCCATGTCCAGTGCATGAAGTCGATGCTTCCAATAATGCCAGGGAAGCCTCGCATCTCACCTTTCATCAGAAGCCTTCGCATGTCCCTTGGCGTGGGTTGCCAAAGGTACTCATTGGTGTAGAGGGCTTCAATTGCAGAGCAAAACCGCATCAGGGACTTCAGAACTGTTGTTTTTCCCATCCTTGCGATCTCATCCACTTGATTTGCAGATACTCCATATGCAAGCATTCGCAAGGCAGCCGTAATTTTTTGCTCAGGAAGAAGACCTAGAACATGAAAAACATCCTCTTTTTGCACAAAATATGGATCATGGTTGCAAACATCACTCATGATTTTATCGAACAAACTTCGTTGCATTCTAAAACAACGTCTAAAAACATGATCAGGGAAAACGCTGTTGGGAATAAAATAATCTTCCAAGAGATCTTTACCTCGTCTTTCCCTTCTTCTATCGATGTTTGCCGCACGTCTGGGTTTGGCTATCTGACCCATAGCTTCCATGATACGGCGGGAATGTAAGGCCCTCCGCCTTCTATGGTGATCATCCTCATCCTCCTCCATTGCGAAGGCCTCATCTTCACCTCCACCTTGGTCAAGATTGACCAATTCTTCCTGTTGTGCCAACAACCTTTTCTGCTGCTCTTGCAACTGTTTATACGCTCTCCTTGAAGAAGACATTGTAAGAACTCAAGATTTGAAAACGATAAAGAAGAATTCTGAGCTAAAAAAAAGGATTGAGTTTAGTGTGAGGATGGATGTAGGGATGTAGGGTTTATATGGACAAAAAAAAAAAGATGAGGTTCTGGACAATGCCACGTGGCACTACGTGATTGGTTGAAAATCTTATTGAAATCTTGGCTAAATTATTGTAAATAGGAAGTGACACGTGGCGTGTCGGGATTGGTTGAAAATCTTAGCGGAAATCTATTAAAAAATAGTACGTTCGGATAATGACACGTGGCGTGACGAGATTGGTTAAAAATCTTATCGAAATCTTGCCTAAATTATTGTAAACAGGAAGTGACACGTGGGTTGTCGGGATTGGTTGAAAATCTTAGCGGAAATCTATTCAAAAAATAGTACGTTCGGATAATGACATGTGGCGTGACGAGATTGGTTAAAAATCCTATCCGAAATTAAAACTATTTTTTTATTTATTATTTTATAAAAAAATTATTTAATATTTTAAATGGACTGGGTGCCAGCGCATTTTGTAAGGTTGGAGATCGTTTGTGCCAGCGCATTTTTAGACTAGGTGCCAGCACATTTTTTTTTTGGGTGGAGATGCTTTGGCCTATTACTGTTCATTGGGTCTATTACTGTTCAATTAAGTGGATAAATAGGCTGGGTGCTGGCGCAAAGTCTTTAGGGGTGGAGTTGCTCTTAGAGATAAAGAGAAAAGTACACTTCATTATTCATAAGTAGTTAACAATATTCCTCAGATCTCTTCTTTGGAATTAATTTTTTTTTTATATGACCAGACGTCTCTCCCTAGCACGAGAAAAAAGAGAGTAGGAATATGGAGACCTATAACTCCAGTAGGCCATGGAAGTGTACATGTAAATTTAAGTGCAAGTTTTTATTTTCTGGAAATTGGACAGTCCAACTAATACAACATGATAGTAACAAAGAAGTGACACCAGCTAGCACTAGCTACTTATTAGCTAGTATATATTGTTCATGATTGTGCTGAAGCAACAACTGTTGCCCTTCGGCCTTTGAAATAGTTCAACAATGCATTGCGCTCAGGTAGGTTTTCTTTGATTGTTGGGGATTCCTTGAAACTTTGAATCCATGCATGCAAGCGAGGAAAGCTATCTCCTTCAAATACTTTAGCACCGGCTGCTTCCTCCAAGACTTCCAGCCACAAAGCTATCCAACCAAATGCTAAATCAGCCAATCCAATCTCGTTGCCGCTGAAGAACTTCTTGTTTCCCAGGCCATGCTCCTCCAAGATTTTAAGATTTTCCTGCGCTTCTTTTATTGCTTTCACTTGTTCTTCGCCAGTAGCAAAAAATAACCCAAGAAAAGCTCCGTTCTATGTTGGACAAAACATTTGGGTCAGTTTGTGTTTAAAATGTTACGTAGCCAGACAGTCTAATACGTAACGTTAGTATACCATTAATCTCAATAACCTATTTAAATAAGAATAACTCATGCTCAATCACATGGATACCATAACATGCTAAACTAATGTCGAGAGCGATTACCTTGTCCTCTCCGAACTTGGCCCAAAACCGAGCCTCGGCTCTTTGGTGTGGGTCTTTCGGAAGCAAGGGGTTGTGTGGCCATACCTCTTCAATGTACTCAAGAATGATAATGGACTCAGCAATTGGTTTCCCATCATGAACAAGAACAGGTACCTTCTTGTGTACTGGGTTGTACTTTAGAAGTTCATCACTCTTGTTGAATAATACATCCTCCTCTACATACTCATACTCCACACCCTTGAGCTTTAGTGCCCATATAACCCTATAAACATATGGACTAGCCCAGGCTCCTAGTAGTTTCACTCCTGCCATTTTTGTAGTTTTTGTGTTGTGGTTCCTGATTTGTTATGCTGGGTTTCTAGATCTATTTATACCCCTCAATTAGATCGGCTGCTTGTGCTTCAAGTACATGGTTTTGGGAATTTAGGGAGGAATTGGCTTCTTTCACATAAAATATTATTGGTAGGTGCATGTGGACGCGAGTGATTTCACTTCTGCCATTTTTGTTATTTTTGTGTTGTGATTCCCTGATTGGTATGCAGGGTTTTTAAGTTTATTTGTACCCAACAATCAATTTGGCTGCTTGTGCCTCAAGTACATGGGTTTAGGAATTTAGAGGGGAATTGGCTTCTTTAATGTAAAATTACTTTTCACTGGTGTATAGTTCTTAGTAGTACGGAAAATGAATAGCTGAAATTAATGCTACATAGAATTGAAGTTGCACCATAAAATAAAATATAATATTCTTAAGTTATTGTTACTCAGTATTACAATCTAGTAATATTTCTTTTTACTTGGAAGTGAAAGGTCTTAGGTTTGAATCTTGTGATTGGCGAATTCGATACCAAATTAGGATGCCCATTGTGTGGCTTTGTCGAACTCCCCCTCTCCTTAGTGTAAAAATATTGATGTACTAATTAAAATATATATATATATTCTTAGATTACTTAGTCAAGGGCCATCCTTAATGTAAAAATATCGATATATATATATATATATATATATATTAGGTTACTTAATCAAGGATCCTTAATGTAAAAATATCAATATACTAATATATATATTCTTAGGTTACTTAGTCAAGGGTCATTATAAATAACTCACTGGAAACATAAATGGGGTGCATGTACGTTAGCGATGATGTCACACAAGAAATCATATATGTATTCACAGCTCACTGGCCTCTCTCCTGCAGGTGGTTCGATCAAAGACAAATTTTTTTTTTTTTGTTGCCGATTCAAATGTGGTAGATAGATAAGGAAATCTATCTACAAGGCCCGGTCAATAGCACAAGTCGCACACTTTCATAATTCATTGTAGATAATTTTAACGAAAAATATCAGGTAATGTTTATTTTAATGAAAAATCATATTTTTATACTAAAATGTCAATCATGGTACTATTCATTCGACCCTTTATTTGGTCCTTATCGTTAAAACTCAAAGTTTTCAAGCCATTTTCATTAGTTTTCCTTTCATTTTATCCTTTGCTTCAATTATGAGTGTAAAAACAATATATAATACATTTTTGTAGAATTGGAGAACTAGTTGTGGGCAGGGACAGATCTATTAAGGGACCGGGGTGGTCCCGGAACCATCCGGAAGCTCAGATAAATAGTTGTGAGGATCTTCAAGGACCACCCAAGTCTGGGCAGTGGTGAAAAAGAACAGCAGCCATGGTGAAGGAGCCTCGTTCCAACGAAGAAGAAAATGCAGAGCAACCTTTTGTCTCTGTTTGTAATCAATCTCCAATGAGGCTGCTCTACCTGGCGCACTCATTAATAAGAAATTCATGAAATAGGGCATGGCTTCTATGCTAACAAAAGTAAGATAATATCAAGCGGTGTGGTGCTTTAGATGTAAGACCTTTTGACTTCTTTTGCAATTGGTGGCTAATCAGGCTGCCCCACCTAGCCCATAAATTAAAATAATAAACCAAATTTTTAATATAAGTATAACTTTTTTAGAGTGATACTATACCCACCTCTTTGTTTTATCTTTTTGCTCATCACATATTTACACCCACCGTTAAAAAAAAAAAAAAAAAAAAAGAACATCCTACTATGACAGTGATAGAGCACCAGCACTCACCATCTTTTATAGAATAGTCAGATTCTTTCAATTAAATTAACTTTACCAAAGTCAAGTCATTAAAAAATTTAAAAAAACCTTCACGTGATACTGTGTAAAAGAATAAAGTTTTGGGGTAAAAGTCTAAATGTCTGTGAAAGTAAAGACTTTTGAACATCTATGTTTTATGTTATCTTGTAAAATCGGTCTAAAAGAGATGTCTATGTATGTTTGTAATCAATTTCATTCCAGCAATAAGAAAAGAAAGTGTTTTTGTTATCAGAAGAAACTTGCTACCAATGGTAAGGAGAAACTTGCATCAAGCTAGCTTTTAGAAAAATAGTCTGAAAGTTTTTCTTACTATTAGCAGCAAGTTTCTTCTGGTTACAAAAACATTTTCTTTTCTTATTGAAGGAATGTGATCGATTATAAACGTACATAATAGTTTTTATTTTTATTTTTTTGATAAAAAAAAGGGAAGTGTTATTGGCACTCCAAAAATCTCATTCTACACTCCTCACAAGTGTATTTTTCTTTCATAATATAGAAAATTTGGAGTGTAGAATGTGATTTTTAGAGTGCTAATAACAATTCCCAAAAAAAAAAAAAAAATCCTTTTTCATGCATATTTTTTGTTGTTGTTTGTAGCTACTTCTCAATTCAATAATGAGATTTGATTTTAATTTCCTTCTTACTTTCGAGAAATCTAAGCATAACAATAGTTCTTTTCAGTATCTCTGTAATGTAAAGAACAACTACTCATGAGCATAATAATAGTTTTTTTCATTATCTCTGTAATGTAAAGAACAACTACTCTACACGAGAAATGAAAATTTAGTATTTCTAGCTTGTTTAGCACAAAGATTATAAATGAAAAGTTGTAGTTTGCCATTTATTTGTTCAATGATATTTTCATCTTTTTTTTTTTTTTTTTTTTTTGGAGCTTTTATATTGGGACCACCCTATGTTAAAATCCTGGATCCGCCATTGGTTGTGAGATCTACTCCACGTTGAATTTCAATGATCTGAACCGTACATTTTGTAAGTCTCAATTCATAGATCACCCTTGCAAAAATTCAATTTAATCCAAAGACAGTTGCCTATTTTATTATCACAATGAATTTTCATTGTTTATTATAAAACAAAGTGTTCATCAATTTCTTTGAACTCAATTAGAATTCTCAAATATTATTCTCGAGTTCAAAAAACTAGAGGTTCTTTTAGATGAGATTGTATTAGTTTTGAGTTCCTTTTTAACATATTAACCGAAGATGTAAACATTTTAATTAGAATTTAATAAAGTCTTGTCTTTTGAGGAAAAAAAATGAGATATCTCAAATATTTTTTATTTGGTTAATATTTTGCAAAGATGATCTATGAGGTCCATCTCGAATCGTTAAAATTCAATGTAGTGTGGACCCAACAACTAATCTCTATTTAAAAAAAAACGAAGATCCCGTAAAGGCCTCTTATATATAAATATATATATATATATATATTATCATATCGTGCCCTCTTTTGAAATGCTGACCACATTCATATACTTTTCTCACAAATATAAAGTTAATTGAACATATACTAATAGCATTTGAAAAGTAAAAGCATGCATGGTATATTTCAAAAGTATGCTTCAGCGTTCATGAGCAATTTCTGACTGTTGATGTACTCCGCGCGAAATCTATTATGCATCACTGTTTGAGCTCATGTGCATATAGAAGACGACGACTAACAATAGCCAAATTCGATTTAAAAACTAGGTTATGATCTTGCTGATGCAATGGACCTCTCTCTTAGGGATTTGAAATAAGCCAACAATTCATCATGATGAGGGGTGTTCTCCTTGATCTCAGGCACTTCTTTAAAATTGCGTATCCAAGCTTGCAAGTGAGGAAACATATTTGGTTCTAGCAACTTTAAACCAGCTGATTCTTCCATAGCTCCTAGCCAACCAGCTATCCATCCCAAAGCCAAGTCTGCCAACCCAATTTTCTCCCCTCCAAAAAATTTCTGATCTCCAAGTCCATGTTCTATTGTTTTCAACGCTTCTTGGGCTTCGTTTTTTGCCTTCTCCTGCTCTTCACCAATTGATTGAAAATATGCAATAAAAACTGAACTCTGCAAGGCTCAATTTGATATTTGATTAGCTATACACATGTGAATCCATGAAACATTTCAAATTATTTGGTAAACAGATTTGACGACAGGATTATTTTCAATATATAGTTAGCCTACTGTTAAGATGTTATAAAGAAAATAATAAAAAGTTATTAAACAAGTCATGCTTAGGATAATTGTAATAGATTAGAGGGACACCAAAACAAAATTTAGTATGAGACTATTACTCACTTATAACGTGTCATGTTAAAATTTGTCACATTTTCTAAATACATGTGGCCAAATTTTTGTCTAGTGGTTGTTCTAGAATTCTAGGATCGAGATTGTAGTCCAAATATAAATATCGCCTGGAGATACAATTATGTTATGCTGACCACATTTTTATATCAAATACGTTCGCAAAGAGATGTGTTCATAATTAAGAATATGAGCATCTTGTTAAAATTAAATAAATCTAAAGCGAGTCTAGATTTGAATTACTTAAACTCAAAATTTTGTGAACAAATTTGAATGACTCTCACCTTGTCCTCTCCAAACTTAATCCAAAACCGAGCCATGGCCCTCTCATAAGGTTCATCTGAAAGCAGTGGGTTCTGTGGCCAAACCTCCTCAATGTATTCAAGAATGATAGTGGACTCTGGGATTGGTTTTCCGCCATGAACGAGAACAGGGATCTTCTTATGAACTGGGTTATGCTGCAAAAGACGTTCACTCTTGGTGGTAAGATTTTCTTCGACATATTCATACTTGACACCCTTTAGTTTTAGAGCCCATATGACTCTGTAACAAAAGGGACTAGGCCATGCTCCTAACAGCTTCACTTCTTCCATTTTTGTAAACTACTTGCTTTTTTCTTCTTCCTAATTTGCTCTCACCAATGCGTTAGCTTTATAGGTCTCTATGAGCTTTTATGAGCTTTTGGTGGGATAGGAGAAATGAGGAAAGGAAAAGGACGAATGGAGATGGTGTGAGTCTCGTTCCATTCACATTTCTTTCACTATCCTATCTTGGCACTTCTTCGTTTTTTTCTTTTTTATACATACTTTTCTTTTATCTAACTAAACAAATCTTGAGTTTGTTATTTATATTCTTTAAATTGACTATATATATTGAGAATTTAACTAACAATGTTTACCATCTCAACGTTCGAATGATAATATATTCAATGTTATATTCACATTAGTTATATTTGACATAACTATGCTATAAATGCATTAGCCCGTTGTAAAATATCTTTCAAAATATTTAACATTAAATTGTTATCCTGTCTGGAAAAAAAATTGGAAATTCGTGTACATAATCCACAATTGGCTCTTGGAGTTAAATACTTGGCAGAGAAACATTGGTGTTCTTGGGGAACACTCAAATTACTTTGAAAAGTCATCTCATTTGGTCAAAAAGGAGGCCAAGAAGAAACAATGCAACTTCCTGTTAAACTCCAAAGGAAATTTCAAAGCTTTATGTATTCAAAGAATCATAACATAAAAGGGGGCCAAGGGTTTGAGGAATTAAGAATACAAATTAAACAAGAAAAAAAGTTGGAAGAAGTGAAGCTGCTGTTTGGAATTTAACAGGAAGTTGATAAATATCAATATTGTTCTCAATCTATAGCTTTTATTTAATTCTACAAGACGACATGAAACTTTATATCTTCAATAAAAAATTGAGAATAGCAGAAAGATTGCCTCTTTGGCCTGTTAAAGAAAATATCCACAGGACCACAGCCGTCTGCAGACAATAGCTAGATGGGAAATCCTGTATATTCTAAGGTAATCAAGCTCAAGACAACTTTTCAAATACATGAACGCGTGGTTCTTCCATTACTATTCTTAATATGCCACACCTAAATTGCTTGAAAAATCATCTCAATTGGTCAAAAAGGAAACCAAGAAGAAACAATGCAACATCCGGTTGACAATTCCAAAAGGATATTTCAAAGCTTTATTCATAGAATCATATTGTATAAGGAGGCCGAACACGAACATTTAACGAACGCAAAGAACTCAACAAGAAATGGAAGAAGTGAAGCTGTTTGGAGCTTGGCCTAGTCCATATAGTTCCAGAGTGATATGGGCTCTAGAGCTCAAGGGTGTGAAGTATGAATACATAGAAGAGGATTTGGCTAACAAGAGTGATTTGCTTTTGCATTACAACCCAGTTCACAAAAAGATCCCAGTACTCGTTCACAACGGGAAGCCAATCGCTGAGTCCAGTGTGATCCTCGAGTACATTGAAGAAACTTGGCCCCAGAATCCCCTCCTTTCTGATGACCCTCATGAGAGAGCGTTGGCGCGGTTCTGGACGAAGTTTATAGACGAAAAGGTGATCATTATATATGTCAAGCAATGTCGTATATATATTTATATATTGTCATATAAATTTACAATCTGACAACATAACATATATTGCTTTTATAGATTATTGGAGCCCTTTCAGTCATTACTAATCAAATGCAAATTTCAATTTGTGTGATCAAGCAGAGCGTACCATTTGCTAAATTCTTTATGGCTGATGGGGAAGAACATGAGAAGGCTGCAAAAGAAGTCAGAGATCTACTCAAGATCTTGGAAGAGCAAGCTCTGGGAGAGAAGGAGTTTTTCGGTGGCAATGAAATTGGGTTGGCTGACTTGGCCTTGGGATTTATAGCCTCCTCTTTTGGAGTGATTGAACAAGTGGTTGGTGTCAAAGTGCTGCAAGCCAGTGAGTTCCCTTGCTTATGTAATTGGATTAACAACTTTAGGGAAAACCCAGCAATCAAAAAGAGCCTCCAGCATGTAGATCAAATGTTTGTGTATTACAAGCAGAAGAGGGAGATGATTCTTGCTTCAAGGCCTTGAATTGCTTTCTTGTTGCATCTTTTTAGCCATATATGTAAGTGGATTAAGAAAAAGAAATCATAATAATTGTTGTTATTCTAAATAAGTTGTGAATTGCATAACTCTTGACATTTTCAGTGTAATTGTCACACATTACATCTATATTATCAGTTTAATCCACCAAAAAGGACCTTTTGGGATGGTAAAAACGTGTCACAAAATCTGCCAAAAGCGTCGCAATAGGCCTTTTACGACGGGCTTGTGACGGCAAGTGACTCATCGCATTAACTATGCGTCGTAAATGTTGGTCGATTATATGCAACGCTATGTACTATTTACTACGGGACGGCAAGTAACATGTCGCAAATAATTGCCACCAGGTTTAAAAAAAAAATTGGGCGTCAAATTGGACACCAATGACAATATTTTTTAACAGCTTCAACAAAAAAAATTCATGTGAAATTGTACTACAGGTTCCAAACTAAAATGAAATTCAAACCAATGTTACAATTCATAATTTACAAAATGAAAAACACTTATTTGGAATCTTTAAGATTGTAATGTATTTCATTTCAGTAATTAAACACATATACATGTTTAGACATTTATATAGTCTATAATACTACATCAGACCAATGCTTCTCTGTCGGACCAAGCAAGAGATCCCCTTGAGTGCTTTCCTTCTAAACTTTATGCCTCTCCTCTTCATCTTCCAGTCTCTGTAGTTGACAAGAATTTACTACCACAAAAATGATATCAATAATGACAAAGGAACAAAAGTAACTTGCAGACTAGTACAAAAATCAATTTGCGCGACGTACTTTGCGCGACGAAGACGACGTCGCGCAAAACAGCTATGCGCGACGAATACATCGTCGCGCAAAGTTTCATTGCGCAAAAGACGTTTGCGTGACCCCTATATGCGTCGCGCAAGATTTTGGCGCCAAACGAAGGATCTTTACTGCTTTTTTTTTCCAAATTTGCGCAACGAAGGCAGAAACACGTCGCACAAAATAGCTTTGCGCGACATAGTTGGGAAGGCGGCGCGCAAAACATCTTTGCGCTACGTATACCTACCTACGTCGCGCAAAGTCCCTTTTTTATTTTTTATTTTTTTTATTTTTTATCCCTTTTGCTTTTCTTTTAGGGTTCTTTCATTGCCTTTTCCTTTTGTGGTATCCACTTGTGTAAATATTTTAAATTGACGATCCAATTAGTTCATTGTATTCATATAGGGTTAAAGAGTGTAACTGTAAAAAATCATCAAAATCAGAGTTAAAATAATCGTTTGATCGTAATTTTTTCGTTTATGGCCGTCGAAATGGTTTGTCCCATTACTTGATTTCTGAATGTTTGTTTTTTGCGATTTTAGCGTATAAGATCTCGAAGCATATACAAATAAGTTTGACGGTCAGATTGTTGAAACTAGTTTCGTACAATGCGTTTCCCATCAAATTCAATGGTATATGTATTTACTAAGTAGATTTCAATTTATTTATTTTGTACTCATAAGCAAAAGGGCGAAAAAAAAAAAAAAGGACTTTGCGCGACGTAGGTATAACTACGTCGCGCAAATATGTTTTGCGCAACGTAATTGTACCTACGTCGCGCAAAATCCTTTTTTTTTTTTTTGCTTTTGCTTTTCTTTTGAGGTTCTTGCATTGCCTTTTCCTTTTGTGGTATCCACTTGTGTAAATATTTTAAATTGATGATCCAATTAGTTCATTGTATTCATATAGGGTTAAAGAGTGTAGCTGTAAAAAAATCATCAAAATCAGAGTTAAAATAACCGTTAGATTGTGATTTTTTCGTTTATAGCCGTCGAAATGGTTTGTCCCGTTACTTGATCTCTTAATGTTTGTTTTTTGCAATTTTTGGCGTATGCGATCTCGAAGCATATACAAAAAAGTTTGACGGTTGGATCGTTGAAACTAGTTTCGTACAATGCGTATCCCATCAAAACATTAGCTTCACTAACACTTGGAGTTTATTTATACTTTCATTAAGTATAACATAAAATTTTGTGGTATCCACTTGTGTAAATGTTTTAAATTGACAATCGAATTGTATTCATATAGGGTTAAAGAGTGTAGCTGTAAAAAATCATCAAAATCAGAGTTAAAATAACCGTTAAATCAAGATTTTTTCGTTTATAGCCGTCGAAATCGTTTGTCCCGTTACTTGATCTCTTAATGTTTGTTTTTTGCAATTTTTGGCGTATGCGATCTCAAAGCATATACAAACAAGTTTGACGGTTGGATCGTTGAAACTAGTTTCGTACAATGCGTATCCCATCAAAACATTAGCTTCACTAACACTTGGAGTTTATTTATACTTTCATTAAGTATAACATAAGATTTTGTGGTATCCACTTGTGTAAATGTTTTAAATTGACAATCGAATTAGTTCATTGTATTCATATAGGGTTAAAGAGTGTAGCTGTAAAAAATCATCAAAATCAGAGTTAAAATAACCGTTAAATCAAGATTTTTTCGTTTATAGCCGTCGAAATGGTTTGTTCCGTTACCTAATCTCTGAATGTTTTTTTTTGCGATTTTTGGCGTATGCGATCTTGAAGCATATACAAACAAGTTTAACGGTTGGATCGTTGAAATTAGTTTCGTACAATGCGTATCCCATCGATTTCAATGTGTGTCTATATATATATTTATTTATTAAGTAGATTTCAATGTCTGCAACTGAGTGATCAGTTTCACATATTGGAGGTAAGCTAGGTTGAGAGTTCTTAGATATAAAACTTATAGTTAATGATATCCTTTACCATATCAAGGGCGAAGTATATCAATGTTCCAAGTATGAAGCTGCTTGTTTAGTTTCTTGAACCATTGGTTTTTTAAATAATCTTGTATTGATATTATTGCTCTAATTACTTATATTACTTTGGTTGCTAATTTATTAGTTTCAAATGCAAGAAAGGATTAGTTTCTAATGTCATATTTTTATGGTTCAAAAAGTGTATAGATGTCGCAGTTGATCACTCGTCGTCGGAGTGTGTCTAATGCGGCTCCTACATCATCAGCATCTACTCCAGGCGTGAGTGCTCCATTGATTGGGGAGCCTACACCCCTTACTGAGGCTACTCCTACGGCGTCTTAGGTGCCCGTATCATCAACATCATCAGTGTCGGTTCAACCTCTCAGTGCACGGCGGCCTCACCGTCGCCGCCGCGAGCTGGAGCTTGGTGATCACGCTTCCTCCTCCTCCGGAGTCGATGGTGGGGCCTCCTAACCAGGTAGTTTTTTTTCTAATTCTCACTACGTTGTATTTTTTTTTTTCTATTTTAAAACTATTATTTTATGATTGTGAAAATTTGTTGGATTGTGAAAATGTGTTGCGGGTTGTGAATTACTGTTTTAAGGTTTTGGGAAATGATATACTATTAGGGGAGGTTTTGCCCAATTTTCTGTACAAATTTAAGCTTTTTACCATTTAAGTTTTTTTGGGCAGCTAAAAAAAACACCAGGGGGCCTAATCGAATGCTAAAGGAGGCACATGCTGTACGTATGTCCGCCTCCTTGATCAAGATTGCATATGACTCGCAACATCGTGGAGCGGCTACCTCACAGCAGCATAGCAGCGTTGTTACTAGCTGTGGTTATGTTATTCGGAATTGTTGTCCTATGCGGTGGGAGTCTTGGGCACAAATTCCCGAGGAGACGAAGAAACTGGTGCCAGACAAGTTGTCGGTTAGTAAATTAATTTTTAGCCCTTATCATTTTTTTTTTAAATTTTGTTTACAAATATTATAAACCAAAGTATATTATCTTAATATTATTAAATTTCTTAATATTATTTTATTGTTTTTCATATTTGTAGGTCAATTTTGATGTTAATGACTTATCCCCTGAGGTCAGTGCCTACTTAGAGGGGACCTTAGCAAACCGGTACAAAGATTGGAAGAGCGCTTTTCACACGCATTTTCAGCTATGGGATGATCCGGAGATTGCTCGCCTAGAGGGTTGCCCAAACGAGTTGAGGGACCGGCCAGAGGATTGGGAGTGGCTCTGTAAACATTTTATGGATCCAAAATTTGTGGTATGTACATAATACTTTAATAATAATTTACTGTTTTTGTTATTTTTTAAGCTTTTTTTAATAATTTCATTCAAATAATCGCACTAACATGTATATTGTATGTTTAACAGAAGAAATCTATTGCTGGCAAGAAAGCTCGGGACTCAAAGACACTTCTCCACCATTCCGGTTCGAAGCCCTTTTCGTATAGGCTTGAGGCACGACGTCAAGTAAAAGTATATTAATTTTTAAATTTTATACATTTTATTCTTTATTATTGACTAATAAAATTTACTTAATGATTTTTTTTTAGGAGGGTTCTACGTTCCCACAGATTGACATGTTCAATGACGTTTACGTTCGACCCGGCAATGAGACCGCTAAGGAGCTTCATGTAAGTATATGTAATTCTTATTATTCTTATTTTTACGAATCGTTCAAATATTATTTATATTTTGTCATTAAACATTATATGTTTTTTCTTTATTATTACAGGATGTTATGGTGGAAAAGTCCACTGCTGTTCTCCAAGAAGCAACATCGCAGCTTCCCCCGGAGACCCCGATCGAGGACGTCAATGTACCCGAGGATGCATATATTCAGATCGTGACTGAGGTCTTGGATCAGAAGTTGGGTCGTCGTTATGGCAAGGTTGTTCGATGTATGGGGAAGGCGGGGGTTCGTGAGACGGGTGCCTCCTCTTCCAGATCGTCCACAGGATAGGTAAATGCCTTGAAGGAGGAAGTGACAACCCTAAAAGGTCAGCTTGCGGCCCAGGGCGAGCACATTAGGGCCCAGGACGAGAGGATGAGTATGATTGTACAAGCCTTAGCGATGTCCGGCCTCCAGATCCCGATGCCAACACGTGATGTTGCTCCACCTTCAACTTCCCAGCCACTTCACCCAGCTGATACCCAGTAGCATGATGTATCCTAGAAGACTAGTAGTTTTTTTTTTTGTGTTTGGACATCTTGTGTGTACATTTTTATATATTTTATAATTAAATACTTTTTCTTGGTTTAATAATTATTGTTTAGAATTTCATTACAATATTTATTAAAAATTAAATAAAAAAAATTCTTTGGCCAAAAAAAAAAAAAAAAAAAAAAAGAAAAGGGTTTGCGCGATGAAGAAGTGATCTGCGTTGCGCAAAACCACTTTGCGCGACCCAGGTTTTTAGTTGCGCAAAGTTGTTTTGCGAGACACAGGACCTAGGTTGCGCAAAGTGGTTTTGAGCGACGCAGGACATTCGTCGCGCAAAGTGGTTTTGCGCAACGTAGATCATTTCTGCGTCGCGCAAACCCTGCTTTCACGCACTTAGCGCAACGGTGAATGCGCGACGAACGTCCGTTGGGCTAATTTTTGCACGACGTTTTTTGACTTTGCGCGACGAAGGTCCTGCGTCGTGCAAAGCCTTTTTTGTACTAGTGAGACCACTGGTACAATATAACAAACGACACAACGCCAGCATTTATATAATTACTTTCATAAGAACAATTTCAATACCACTGATACAACTATAATTGAGCTTATAACCAGATGTCATATCAAGAAATGGAACTCAACCTAGAAATTTTATGTATTACCTGTTATAGTGGAATTTTGATGCAACTCATCCCAGCAACATCTGATTTCACTCGACCTTAGCAGTAGCCTTTACCCAACCAAGCCAATTTCTAGGGAAAAAGGAACAAGATAAGGGAAAAAACACAAGAAACAAAGATGAAGGGGAACAGTAAGACACCAATTTATAACATAGATCAACCTTTTATACAGACCAAGTTATTACAGCAAAACAACACGAAAGTAGCTACATTTCTTAAAGATAAATAGTGGAGTAATTCTTAATGTAATAATAGAATTAATGGTCTAACATACACGAATTAGTAGAAGAAGCTCACTACAAACACATGATGGTTGAAGTGGATGACATCATAACACTTATTGAAATATTTAAACCATATCAAGACCAAATCAAACGTCATTTACTGGATTCTACTCAGACAACTCACTTCAAAAGGTGGTGGCCATTCTAACAAAACGAACTCAATTAATCCATCATCTTAGTAAGTTACTAATCAGAAATATTAAAAGATATAGAGCAAATTAGTGCATGGCATTTATGTATGAAAGGAATACATAATCGTTTCTTCTTTCACTCTTTGCGGCGAGTTTGAGCAATTTCGTTAACTAATGACATAAACATAGATTTTTACACAACAGTCACAACAAATAACAACATAAACATAGAATACCAGTTATGTATGCATACCAGCTCAATCACGTTATAAATCACAACATTGACAACAAATGACATAAACATAGAATTTACAAATTACTTACTTTCTTGGACTGCTTATTTACTTTTCTTTCATCCTACTTTGTATGATCCTTTATGGCCCTAAGAAAATAACCTACTCTCTTGCTTCTTCGCAAACCTTACTCTATATCAATGTCATCAGAATGCCCCACTTTATCTTCTACCTTTAAACTACACCCCATTCTCACCTTTCTTAGAGGCCCGCTTTCCATTTTCTCCTCCCTTTTGCTCTGATTTCAACTCATCATTCACCATTACTTTCCAAACAGTTCTTTCATTTTCCTCTACAAATCTCACCTTTTTTCGGACCATTCTGTGCTTCTTCACAAAAGCACCACCATTGTCTCTGCATTCATCCATGCTTTCTTACTCATCCTTCTCCAATTAATCCACCCCCAAATTTCTGCTTCTCTTGCTAAATGAGTCACCAGTGCCATTAAAGAATAAATAAACAAAACCAAGCCAGCATACTTCTTTGACTAGCTCCAATTACAAAAAAATCCTCCAACAATATTAGCAATTAGTGATGAAATTGAACATAGAAAAAAAGAAAAAAAAAAAAAAAACCCTAAACAACGGGAGAACTAATGGAGAATAGATAAGACTGGAATTTTTGAAAAAATGATGAAACAACACCAAGAAAAAACAAATTAGAAGATGATTCCTCAAATAATCTTACCAAATAAGAAGCGATGAGATTGAATTTGAATTTCTAGCAACAAAAAGAAAAAACTGAGAGATGACAAAAAATATTAGGGTTAGGGAAATGGGAGATTTGAGAGAGGAACAAGAAACATAAATCCTTACTTGGTTCAATTGTGTCTCAGCATCAGTGGTTGTGGCAAGAGTCTCAAAGAAGGATCTATGCTTTGAAGAGAGGGAGATAGGCTGAGAGCGAGAGGGAGATGAGAGCGTGCAGTTGTGTTTTTTTTTTTTTTTCTTCTACTTATTCACAACAGAGGTGTGTGCGACGGAACTTTCATTCATGTCGCAAACAACAGAGCGCCAAAGTTTAGCGCACAGAAAATAATGAAATTTAATAGTTATTGCGAGAGCCGCATCACGCGTCGTAGAAGGGTGTCGCAATTACCATATTTTCTTGTAGTAACGTGTATATATTTATTTAAAAATACTATACTAAGTCAATGAAATATCAACAATGTTATCCACTCATTATAAAACGTGGAATACAAAACAACACGTGGTGGTGTGATTGTCGCAATAAAAAATTTGTCCATTGAGTATAATCATATTGCTTCATGATATCATTAATCATCTCATGTTATAACATATAAATATATTTATTAATATATTTCCTAATTTCTGTATTCATGACATATTAATCATGTCACATACTTATATTATAATATGTAGATCAATAACACAACGTGATACAGTAATAGTTAGTCACACTTAAAAATTTCTCCACTTGTAACTAGAAACCTATGGTGTTAAACTCATGCTGCTAAACACTGCCGTTTCCAGGGGAAGTGTTTTTTTTTTTATTTTTTCCTAAGAAACAAACAAACGTAAAAAAAGGTTAACAGAGAAAATAAGACTGGCTGTAATTACTACCATTTGGGCTGTGGGAGGTGGCAGTATTGTGTTCATCCAAATACGGCCTCCCAAGAAACCATTGCCAAACTCTAAAAAGCAACACAAGAACTCTGAATTCAAGCGGTGGCCAAGGCTTCTGTTGCAAACTCTCCCTTACACATCCTCAAACCTCGAAATCACACTCACTACAAACTCAGCAGTGGAATCAGAACCGATCCTCTGGTCATTCTCTTGTACAAATGCACCATTTCTCACTCTGCAGACCTCAAAGCATAAGTCTTCAACCATCACATGCTTTGCAACTGATAAGCAAACTTCTCCTACTGAAATCAGGTCTTCCCTTTTCCAGTATTTTGAGAATGATTGTGTCGTATGATTCATTTAAGGGAGTTCTGCACAAATAGAATCGATTACCAATTCTAATTAAAAACATAATTGGAGACCCTAGACAGACGATAAAGTGTATACATAACATAGTGTCCTGTTATTGCCTGTTTAGTGTCCTTTCGGTTATTTTCTTATTTATTAAAAGCTTTTAACCGGTTTTACAAGTGCATATTTCCTTGGATTTAAGCTTACACCATATCTTAATGTTTCTTGGATAATTGGATTGGGACATGTAGGAACTATAATTGGTTAGTCTTCAACAAGGATCACAAATAACATATCTTACATATATTACAAGAGTTGGCATTAAAAAGAGATCGACCATACCTGAGAACCCATCTGCCCAGCAACAAAGACAGCAGCAACACCAACTGAAAGACCTGGTGTAGGCTGTGTTTACTGGTAACACATAAGAATTCTTCTACTCACTCAAGACCTTATGTTTCAATGGTGATAGAACCCTGATTACAGAACATGTTCTTTGTGAGCAGGGAATCCTTTATTATATCGAACTGAACTTCTCCAACTTCCATCTATCAAGATGATTGGATAGCAACTGCTATGAACTGCAGCAATCAGTTTCTTTTGACGTGGAGCAATGCAAGCATCCTTATCACGTCCCATATCCCTTAATTCTAGGAGATCAGTTATTGACATGGCCATGACTCCTAATTGGTTTGAACCCACGTTTAGGTATCCTTATCATGATATGTGTAAGTTCAAAACCTAACAGGGACATGACCAAATGAACGTCTGTGATTGGTAGTAGTTGTGCCATAGTGTTTCAAATTTGAACTTTTCATGATCATTGCATCAATTTTCTGGGATATTTGATAAGTTCTACCTATTTGTACTGTGAACGGAACTGGTTCTAAATTGAAGTAGATAGACTAGTAATGGGGTTTTCCCGGTTTCAACATCTTTGGCAACTTGGGTTCTCTGGCTCTCTGCCTTTCAATCCAATGCCTTGTGCTATATTAGCTTCTACTATACACATTAGGCTTCTTGTAATCATAGGTTTGTTTGTTCCTCAGTTCCACAACCAGGATCAGGAGTGAAGTTCTCACTCCCTTTCACTCCGTTCGAATGTTTTTCTATCTTGCTTTCATTGCAAGTGGTGGTTTAGGAGGACTAATAGCAACCACACAATTGATTGCAGCAATAACAAATCCATCAAGAGTACTTGATGCCACCGAAATTGCCAAGGGTCTTGGCAGACCTTGGAGCAGTGTCTCTCTTTGCATTTTTGTATTTGAGGGAGAACAAGGCCAAAGATGCACAGATTGCTAGGCTCTCTCGAGAGGAAAACCTTTCGAATCTTAAGCTTCGTGTTTCTGAAAAGAAAGTTATTCCTCTTAGCTCTTTGAGAGGGATTGCTCAGCTGGTAATATGTGCAGGCCCTGCATCGTTCATCACAGAATCCTTCAATCGAAGTGAGCCTTTCACTGAAGGGCTTGTGGAAAGAGGAGTGCTCGTTGTGCCCTTGGCTACGGATGGAAACGTACCTAGTTTTGAGTTTGAAGAAAGTGAAGAGGCTAAGGATATTACTGCAAAGAGGAAAGGACTCTGGCAGCTGACTCCAATTTATGTTACTGAATGGACCAAGTAAGTAAACCTTTTTCAAAACAAAATGATTTAATCATTTACAAGTTCTTATTATCTGGTCAGACACACTCATTTTTTCGTTGGATATTGTAGCTGGTTGGACGAACAAAAGAAGCTGGCCGGTGTCACCTCTGACTCTCCCGTGTAAGCATTTCTTATTATGGCAGTTTGTATAGTTTGTGCTTTTAACTATACTTTTTTTTTGCATTTCGTTAGTTTTCCTTTTAACCAATGAGTCTATTTTCTTGGGTAAATTCGCATAAGATCACTTCTTGAGTAATTCTACATCATTTTTTTTTTTTTTTTGCCAGGTATGTATCTCTTCGCCTGGATGGTCGTATTCGTGGCAGTCGCGTTGGTTACCCACCTTGGAATGCTTTCGTTGCGCAGTTACCACCTGTAAAGGGAATATGGTCTGGTCTCCTCGACGGGTTTGATGGAAGAGTTTAAGAAAACATTTTTAGTTTCTAGTCATTCGTTACTTGTCATGACTCCGCAGTCTGTCGAGAATATTGTGGTGTTATGTGCCATTTATAAGCACTTGCATGCTTATCGATTTTTCGAGTATCTCCCAACTCTCTTGCATTATTGGGTGCTTAAGCTTAACTACATGGTTTTTTGTTTCGGCCAAACACGTAAAACAAACATCCTGGTGCCCACAAGGATTTGCACATTCTGAAACATAAAATGCTTATGATTGAACAAGTAGTCCTGCCTATTGGGTTCTGGAAATCGTCTTTGGAATAGTTTAATGACTTTTTTGTTAATGGAAAAGAGAAGTTATTTGCACAAGTTTTTCACCCCTTGCACACGCTTGCTTGTTTATGCTCTTTAGATATAAATGAAAGGAGAATCGATAAAAATAAACAAGGGTCAGAATGTATAAGGAGAAAAGTGAGTGCATAAATCATTTTCCATAAAAAATAAAAATAAAATAATAAAAAAAACCAGTTTGATACACCGCTTTTCTCTTTATCGCGAGATAAAGATACAACGGTAAAGAGAGAATCATGATATGTAAGATAGTTTTTCTTGTGATATTATATACTTGGAAAGAGTTGTATGGACAAAAATATAGCGAAGCTAATCTGCCCTCAATCCTTGTGGAAATTTTAGAAAATACAATAATACTCTATGAATTTATATCGATCGATTGGGATTTTGAGCATGCAGTGATTTAAACATAACTAAGAAAAGGGAAGAAGAAATCATAGAGTATGGTATAAAAATAAGGGGCACCAACAACTAGGAAGAAATTGATAGAAGGAGAATTTAATTAAGATTACAATTTACAGTGCTACTACAAACTCATTTAACTTCTTCAATCTCGTCCAAAGCATAGTTATTTGTTGACACATTGGCATAGTTAACTTTGTTGAACCGGACCACGACCGGGTAACGGGTATTCGGATCCTGCAAAATGGATATAAACACATAAATTTTAAGAAAAGCGCACCATTTTCCATGTTCATTTTCATTTTAATTGAGAGGGAGAGATAGGTCAGACCTGATCCACTGCTACAACAGATCCAATGCCTTTGAACCAGTAGGATTCCTTCCTCAGAATCTTCACCTGTTAATGGAAGTATATAAAGTTATTAGCTTATATTACAATTCACCAATTGCAACTACCAAACCATTCAATTTGGTTTAAGTCTCTATTTTTTTCTGGGTTCAATTTGGTTTTCCAATTCACCAATTGCAACTACCAAACCATTCAAAATTCACTAAAACAAATACTATAAAAGAACACTACTTTTTTTTTTTTTTTACTTGAACTAACCTTAGTGCCTCTCTTGGGTCCAATTGGTGGTGGCTTAGGCTTAGGGGCAGCTTCCCCCTCTGGTGCAGTCTTGGTGGCCGCCGTCGGAGCAGCGGCTTCCTCTGCTGACCTGGTCACAAACCTAGCATTGCTTCTGGTGTTGGTGCTGGGTTTTGATGGGAAAAACAGCATGCTATTTCGGCTAGAAGTTGAGCCTGCGTTGGTGGTTGCAACATTTGGTGCTACCACAAAGCCTGAGGCAGCTGATGCGATGCCACAGCTAGCCATGTTTGTTTCTGTGCTGCTGTTAGTCACTAAACTCTGCGTGTGTTTGTGGTAAGATTGTGGCAGAAGTTAATGGATATAAAATTAAGACAAAAAATTGAGAGGCTTTGAATGGACTGAGTTTGTATTGCCATTGGGGAAGACAGAATTATCTGATCCTGGCAACGCGAGATGATTCGTTGCCTCCACTAGGGTGATGACACCTGTGCACCATATCCTTTATGTTTGGATAATATGTGATTACATGTCATCCTTGCGGGTGGACTTGCTGCGTAGACAAACCAACATCTTTCTGTTTCTTCCCGTGAAATTCTTCTAAATAATGATGGAATTGTTATATTAATATTTAACATATGTTTGATTGTGTAAATTCTTGGTAGAATGAGTTTAAGTCTATAAATTAATAAATGCACTAGCATAAAAGAAACATAATCCTACAATTTTCGTACGCTTTGTTCTCTCCACTCTCTCTTGTCGTATTCTCTCTCTTTAGTTCATTAAATTGGCCTCAATAAGAATTGAATTTTCAAGAAAAATATCTAAAATCATTCATTAACCACCAAAAAATCTTCTTAATTCCTTTTAATGTTTTTTTTAATATTATTAATTATGTGGTTGTTGATTTGGAGCCAATGAGTAATATGAATATTTTAGCATATTTCTATGTCCTAAGCCTGTAAATAGACAAGAATAATATATATGGCTTGGTTTTCTACTCCCAATCTCTCTCTCTCGTCTATATCTTATCTCTCTCATCTATTTCATATCTAACATGTTCCGAATCATAGTTATTTCACCAAAACATAATTCAAAACCCAATACTAAACCATATACTGTGGAATGGAAAATTAGAAACAATTATTTTTAGATAATTGTTCGTAGCATTCATCTTCATTGTATATTGAAGTACAATAAAATTTAGATTTCTGGAGCCTTCTTGTAAGGGAAACACAACTAGTGCTTATAAGAAAATAGTGTACAAATTTTCATAAAATAAAATAAACAAGTTAAACAGATACCGTAGAGACGGTAAAATGGGCACTAAACAATGATTTTGTTTTTTTTTTTTTTCAAAATTTTTTAAAGATAAAAAGAGACCTAAAAGTCAGAGGCTTCCCCTACTACAGCAATTGCCAACAAGATCAAATATTTCCTGGCAAAACTTGGGATCGTATGAAACTCCTTCAATTCCCTCCAAAATCAAAACATGAAAATAAAGCTAGGGTTTTAGCTGATGGTGCTGATCACAGACTTCTCAGTCTACGTTACCGCACCATGATGCGTAATACTTCCGAATCGAACGCCAAAGATCCAATGCAGATCAGAATTCCATCACATGGAGGTTTTCTTGGGATTCAGAGCTCCGATACCCGATTATCCCCATCACAACGCCTCCAAAAGACTCACAGGTTAATCCAAACCCTAGAGTTAGTCACTTATTTAGTTTTAAATGTGTTAAAATATTTTGTTTCTTAGTGAGTCTAAAGAGGGTGTAGTCAAACTCGAATTTAAAGAGATCTTAAAATCCTAATGTAGTCAACTAAAGGATTTTAAAGGCCATCAAAATCTAGGTGTATTAAAAAAATTAAAGATTTTTAGGATTTCATTAAAAGTTGTGGATTTTGTGGGATCTGAGAGTAAGAAGTATATATAATCAATACCAAATAGAATCCTATCTCACACCTTAGGATTTCAAATCCAGAGACCTCTTTGAATTTCTGACTCTCCCTTCCTCTCATTGCCTTCCACCCACTTTGTTTGCTTGTCTTCTTCCTTCATCTCTGCAATTTTTTCATGTATGGATAAATATGAAGTTGCGTTGCATCATTTCTCATATGGCATCGAAACGGTCTGAAGGAGCTCAAGGACGAAGTATTGTGATTACATAGTGCAAAAGCCTAGCTCCTAAAGAAAAGAAGAGACATTTAAGGGAATACTTGCATATAGAATACCAATTCATTCCAAATAGCAGTCCAATTACAACATGGATTTACAAATCCATTCCCAACAAGACTTCCTACTCAATCTCTAATCCTACAACCAAGTTTACCAATTCATATTCATGCTCATATTCTAACATTCTCCCACTTGAGCAAGTATGAACCAAGAAAACTAGTTCGATTAAGACCTGGTTTGGTACTGAGGTGATTATGAAAAAAGCTGCTATCAAAAAAAGCTGGGAGCTGTTTTTGTGTTTGGTAAACACTCAGCTTCAGCTTTTTTTCACAGTTTTGGGTGAAAAAAAGCCAAAAACAAGAAGCTGCAAAACCTAGCTTTGAAAAACTTGCTTTTTTTCACATCTGTTTTACATAAAAGTTTACCAAACACTTTAATACTGTTTTTTTTTTTTCAAAAGCACTTTTACAAAAAAGTTTACCAAACACTCTACTGCTTTATTTCACAACTGCTTATTCTCACAGCACAGGAGAATCAGCTTTTTTTCAAAGCACAACAATACCAAACCAGCCCTAAGACTATAATAGGGTGATCACACAGTTTTTTGAGTAACATCATAAACGATCTATCCGTGCATTTCAAAACACAGAATCTAAAAACTTTCAGTCACAACCAATAACCAGTGCTTCTAGATTACTTATGTCCAATCCGCACATATAACATTATGATCAAACTGAAAATTTTAGTGGACCTAATTATCCACTCCCACTATTTCTCAACTTAATTCGAAATCAATCAAGCTTATCACAGACAGTAAAACTGTCTTCTTGCAATTCTCAAGAATTCAAAACAACTGCTTGAGTCAAATCACAAAGACTTCTCAAAGCATCAAACTGAATTAAAAAATCACACATATAAAACAACTACAAAAATTGAATTTCTGAACACAACTAGCTCATAACAAAAAACTTAACTCAAGAGAAGAACTTCACTGCTATACCAGCTCTTTGAACTTCACAATAACAGCACTTCTCAACTTTATTATTGCAACTGTCTTTAACACTACTCCCACTGATCAAAAGACTCGAGCACACTCATTCTAGAGATCAATTCGTCAGAAAGAAGGTCCTGAACTCCCTCAAGAACTTGTTTTAGATAAGGACATCCTCAATATCAGGACTAGTGCAATAAAACACTCACTACAAGATTGCCAGGTGCCTTAACAACCTCGCCTGCAACATGGGCTGCCATGGAAAGATTGTCCTTCCCACCATCAATTGCAATACCAATTCGATCATTGCCACTGAAAGAGATGTAGCAGCATCATACATAGCTGTTCCTTCCCCATCAAGCTAGGCTGCATACATCCAAGTCCCGCTTTCTTTAACATCAGATAGAGAAGTGACCTTTGTCCAAAAAAGATTTGTGAGTGCTTCTCCAACAGCCAATCTCACCAGCTTTTGGATCCAACAAACCTTTGATTGGCTGCTACCCAATGGCACATGCACCTCCAGTCACGTCAGTAAAAGTCTGCGCTATTACTGCAACAACAGAGAGAGGAAATTGTAAGGGCCCAACAGTTTGCTGCTGTGCTACAAGACCTATAACACACTTGTCTACTTTGGATGTCAAGAAGTGCTTTGAACAAACAAATGGAAGTCTCAACACCCTCTTAAGTGAATCCATCACTGTTATTCCAGAAGCAATATCAAGTGGTTCTCGTACATCAGGCATCCTGTGGAATTCAAAACTTTTCTGTCGCATATCACCAAGTACAATTGCCCGGATATCAATCTGACCGTCCTTGGGGTATATAACTTCCTTAATTTGCAAACCATATTCTCATTCCCCCCTTTCAATAAATCCAAGGGGTTGAACCATGTAAATGTCTTCTCGAAGATCACCATTGAGTTATTTTGTAATCTGCAGAACCCCATTTTAACATCCATTTGATGCAACTCCGGATCAAAGTGTGCACAACAGACAGTGAAGAGATGTCTCATGCATGATAACCATCATTCATGGTTTAACAGAAAACATAAAGGTGCATTAGCATTCTGCAGATTACAAAATAACTGCAGATAACACATAATCGAACACCCAAAGTCTAAATTACTACAGAATAGTTTCAATTCGATCGAATCCATATAGTTTTTGTTATTTCAAAGCCTTATCCTTTAAGACCTAACATAAACCCTCGACTCAATATGGAGAAGGACTTTTAAGCAAGCAAGAATAAAACTTTGCAATTTATCAAACATACCTTGCACAGATCCAATTTATGAAACAGCGCAGCGGAATAACCATTCAAATTGATCATATCAGTTGCAAGATTGATGAAATTATAACCCAGAAGCATGTTTTGTTGGTTAATGTTCTTAATCGAAAAGACCCAATCGGAAAGAAAACCCCTTCCCTTGGATTTGCAGAAAATCCAACCGTGAAACTCAAACGATTATTATTTTTTTTTTTCAAACATGTTTTGTCGTTATTCGCAAGGCATTATACTAGAACCTATGTTCGATTCCCCAACGCGGCAACGAAGATATATTTTCCTCAATATTATTTATGTTTTGGAAGCTACTGGTTTTAATCACAGAACTTATAATTTATGAACCTAAGGGCTCTGATACCACATGTTAGCGTAAACACAACACCAGGATCATGCAAAGCAAGTTACCGTGATCAAAACACAGAACCATAAACCATAAAGCAATGCACAGAGAGAAAACATACATGTAGAAAAGTTCCAAGCTGCTGCCATGCCTAATTTCTGCATCAAAGTCGTGGTGTACCTTCTCCTCTCTTCAATGAACGAGAGTCTCAACTAATAATAGGTCTTAGTCTTATATTGAGTACTCACTGCGAGAGTAGAGGCCACCATATATATACTATACAATCTTAGCCAAATTCTATAAGGATTCCCCTATTAAAATCCATATAGAATACCAATTCCTTCCAAATAGCAGTCCAGTTACAACATGGATTAACAAATCCATTCCCAACAAGACTTCCTACTCAATCTCTAATCCTACAACCAAGTTTACCGATTCATACTCATGCTCATATTCTAACACTATTATCCTCTCTTGAGGGGTAATTTTCAAGCTTTATGGAACCCCTTATTTAATGGCTTTAGCAGCTAAAAAAACCCAACAATCTTTATCTCAAGCTCAATTGTTTATCTATACAAAAAGCAACAATCTTTCACAGACTTGTGATCATTTTATCTTATACCTAATTTTGTATTTGTCGAAAATCGAATGACATTGTATTTGTTTTTGAAATTTGGTCAGCTTAAGGTGCTATTGTTTGGTAGAGCAAGGATGCAGCTCCCCAACATGAATCAAATGTAGCTTCATTGATTAGATTTATAACCTAGGTATATTTATTAAAAATTGAATGAAATTGTGGTCAGCTGAATGTGCTATTGTTTGGTAGAGCAAGGATGCAGCTCCCCAACATGAATCAAATGTAGCTTCATTTGATTAGATTTATGACCTAGGTACATTTATCATCATTTGATTTATTTGACGGTCAAAATTTAACGCTATAAAATCTATCAAAATCCATAGAAATTTGTTATATGAATCTTCTCAAATCTTTCAAAACCCATATGGATTTTGTAGAAGTTACATAATCCTATGAAATCCATCACTCAAAATCTATTAAAATCCTCTTAAATCCTAACTTAACTGCACAAGTTGAATTTGATGCTCTTGTTTAAAAATTTCATCTCCTTGTAGATGATCAGCTGTAAGAAAAAAAAAATTCCTTCTTGTAGATGATCGCTCTAAGAAAAGAGCCAAATTTACAAATCTTGATGATGAAAATCAGAGAACCCTAAGAGTGAATTTGTATTTTATTTCCTTGCCTTTTTCCAAAATGTGTCAAGTTCACTTTTCACATTGCACTTGAATTTTTTTTTTTTTTTGAAAAGTTGAGGTGTATTAATTGAATTGCCTCCTTAAAATGTCATTTAGTCTCAATTTACCCTTTCAAACTGATTTTGTTTCACTTTGCCTTTTGAAACTATCATTTTCAATTCTTTTGATCTCATTTTAACCCATTCAGTTAAGGAAACCTTAAATTCAAGGGCATTTTGGACATTTCAATTTTTACACTCTTCTTTTAATTGAATTCTTCAAATACGATCATTATATCAACCAAAATAAAGGTTACAATTTTGTTTCTAGAGTCATTTCATTTGCAAGACATCTATGTACGGGTTCAATGGAAACTTTGCACTTGAAAAATACTCATTACAATAGAAAGAAAATATGACTAGCCTATTTCAAGATATCTTTCTAATCAAAATTGGGCTAACTACAAGTTTCGCCTATAAAAAATGATCTTAGATCGAGTGCACAACATATGATCCTACAATAACCATTACGGTATCCCATCCAAAATATGCTTCTTATGCAAACCCAAAACCAAAAAAATTCATCTAAAGCAAATGTGCACAATTTGCAACCAAAAGTTTCACATTGTTGAATCACATGTTCCACTAGGCATGAGCTTGTTCAAAAGGTGCTTGCACTTGTGGTTGAGAATGAGCTTGTGGGGCAACAAATTCTGCTTGGCTCTGAGTGTGAAGCACTAACGGCTTGTACTCCTCCCTATGACTGAAATTGATCACAATGCCCTCATTTTTGGATTCCTAATATATATGTTGTTGATTTCTCCAGGTCCACTCACGACCGATTAACATAACATTCAATCTCTCAAATATATAATTAAACACTTTACTGATAATTCCATTAAAAATGGTGTGTAGAAAGTTAAATGTCTAACATAGCATTGAATTTAACGTTTCTTTAACAAAATAAAGTGGAGTGAGACTAAATGAGTTGAAAATAGCAGTTATGGGAGACAAAGTGAGACAAAACCAGTTTTAAGAGATAAATTAAGACTAAATGGCAATTCCAGAGACAATTCAATTAATAATCCAAAATTTAATAATCTGATGCAAAATCAATTAAGCAGCTATGATGCCGAGACTTCTGACTCCGGAGTACGATTTCTTTAGGAAATTGAAGGTCTCAAGCCCCTACAGTCCAAAATCGCAATTGTACAAAAGATCATGAAACCCTAAAAGTCCTAAATCCCTCCAAAACCCAACATTGGGAAATTTTAAAATATAACAAAAAAAAAAAAAAAAAAAAAACAAACCATGTACAAGAAAGCCAAACATATTCGATGGCCACCCATCCCTAAACCCGATCACGGTCATCTCCGTCATTGGCCCTCGCCGGCCACCATATCACCAACCTTTCTTCGTCTCTCTCTCTATATAACCCCGAGTTTCCCAGCACCCAAACTCACCAACCTCGTCCCCTAATAAAATGCAAACGTCTGTAATAATCCTTCACTTCAGTTTAACAAAGAAAATCCCCAAATTATAGGGTTTGTACAATCGCAACAGAAAAAAGCTTTAAGCAAATGAATGTCTTTACCCATTATTAGGGTTTGTATTCTCTACTTGCTACAATCCGTGAAGAGAATTGCAAAACATAGACATCCAGAAAGAAAATCAGAATTGGAGAATGAATCAACAAGCGTAGCTTCCTTGGCAATTGATACCATATATTAGTTACAGAGAATTCGTATAGAATTCATACGAACAAGAAGATGAACTTTAGATAATGTGGCGCCATGTGAGTGGATGGTTGTGTAGTGATGATTGGCTGCTGGCAAATGTTTATATGGTTGTTTTTTTTTATTTTCTTCTAACCTTAAATTCCAATAGAGGTAAAAATGAAGTTTAAGTGAAAATTTTGAAGTGTGGGTGTTTTCATAAAACTGTGGATTGTTAATAGAACTATCCTATAAATATCTTAATAGATTAAAATGGTGGGGTGTACATTCTCTGCACTAAAGTTTGGATCTCTCTCTATAGTTTTGACGCATTTAATATAATTTATCTGATAATTTTTCAAAAATAAATATGTAATGGCATCCCCTATGTGATATAGGACTCAGAATTAGGAAGTTTGAGTGAACCTTTTTCTAATTTGCTGAAAAATATTTTTAAGGTTTATTTTCGTTTTCAAATAGTGATGCAATATCGATCAAATGACTGACATTTTTTTTATCAAACATATATAGATGAAGTCACTCAATACTACTATCTAGTGATATTCCTCATCACTTTCACTTGTAAATGAGAGATCTTAGGTTCGAATATCGTGAATGACGAATTTGATATCAAATTAGATTCTTCATTATATGGATTAACCGAAGTTCCCCTCCATTTAGTGTAAAATATATCGGTGTAGTAAAAAAAAAAAAATATATATATATATAGATGAAATTCTCTTAAAGCGATCATTTCCGCAATTTAGATTTTGCTTGTTCATAATTTCAAACAATTTCTCAGATTTATTTGAAAGATATTTGTTAGTCTAGACTCTTCTAATGGCCCAACCATCTAGGCCTGGCCCGTTTAACACAGCAGTTTCCAACTTTCCACACAACCAAAGTTAAACCAGTATAACGGCTGCTTTTCCCATAAAGCCTAACTTTGGCTCGTTCTGTGTTTCTCTCTCTCCACCCCTCACAGAAAACACGCAGCTCCCTCTCTCCCTTTCAAGAACCAGCTAAAACCCAGATAAGATTCTTCCTCATCATCTTTATTACGTTACCTTCTCTCACATCCTCGCCAAAACATGGCGCCACGTGTTTGCCAACCGAGCTCTCTCCCTTTCTGGCCTCGCTTACCATGTTTGCCACCTTGTTCGTATCGAATCCTAAAGGATAAAACGCTCCTCCTTTTTTTGTTGTCGAGCTGCACAGAGTGTGAAGTTTATTGAGTTGGTCTTATCCTGAGCAATGGCATCGCCCAGAAGTTATGCGATTCCTGAGGGCTGGGTGATGCGGAAGAAGGTTGAGAACGACGGGACTGAGGTCGAGGTACTCCAAATTCTCTACTCTTTTTATCATCTTTTTAAATTTTGAAGATTTGGGTTGCAATTTGATTTTGTTTTTATGGTTATGTGTTTTTAATTTTAGTGATGTTATTGTGAGTTTTTTTATGTTGATTGAGTAAGGTATGGAAAAATATCCTACGAAATAAAGACTTTCACTTGATTACCTGACAGCTGTTTTGATAGTTCGATGTGCAGATCTGAAGTTTTCATTGTTCTTTACTAGAAAGGTTTTCCAGTGTTTTAAATTGTTTAATTTGCTTGGATGATAAAAATTTTGATATTTTGACTGCATGGAATTGTTTTGATCTTCATTTCGATAAAGCATAAGTACCATGCTTTGTTCGGGAAACTTCTTGGTGTAGATAGTTGATACCATGCAGCATAAGCATCTCCTTGCCCATTGATACGGATTAGGTTATATAAGCTGAGATTGAGTTGCTCATTATTGTTGTGTTCAAGGGATAGAACTCGTGGACTTGCACAGATATACTAGTGATCTAGCAGATATGTGCTCAGATCATACGAAATCTTGTGGGATTGGTTAATGTTGAAAAGACATATTTAGCAGTACGTGATACCAGGTCGCTGAACATCCTGTTCAGCTTCCTCGTGACATGTTTTTGATGAATCTAAAGTTTAAAAAAATTCAAATAGCTTCATGTGTTGAACTGCATATGTTTGTTGAATATTCAGTTCAGTGTTGTCGTAACGTATTTTACATGAATCTAAGTAATGTCATTTTCCTATTATATTTTATGTATCGAAAAAATATGAATCAAGCCGTTTTCTCTCTCCCCAAACCCTAGATCTGCAAGTCTCTTAGCCGTTAATCTTTTCATAAAATTTTTAAGATGTATCTAAGGAATGTCGTTTTCCAAATAGCTGCACATGTTGAAGTACTTTAACCGTCAAATTTGAGGAGCTTAATTGATATTGGATAGGTGTTGCCAATAAGCGACACAAGATTTTTTACGGTCTTGGAAAAATAGCTCATTGGGAACGGAAACTTCTTGTTCCCTAACCGTTTTAACGTATAAATAGGTTTGTAATTTACCATTTGTGTACACTTAATAATGATCCCTGTTTGTAGGTTTCATGTTGCCTTTTTATAATCATGAACTTAAATTGAGGAAAATCCTAGATCTGCCATGGGTCTACTATATTTCTGAGCCTTTTTACAGAATTGCTAGCAGGGAAGTTGGTATTTATAAATGTTTGATCAACTTCCCTGAAATTTGCTTTAACTTTTTCTTTTTTCCTTGTTTTTAATCTGAATATTTGGTTCACTCTTGTAACTATATTTCTTAGATCGTTTGGCTTTTAGCATGCTCGAAGACATGCTACTATATATAGTACTGATTATGATAGAATTGAATAAGTAAGGCTAGCAAGTCTTGAAGATAAAGAAAAATTAGTTGAAACCTAAACAAACCTTTAGGACTGATACTTTTCAATTTATGTCTCTTGTAGCGCTTCGTCTGTCTTGCAACAGGACTAGAATTTGGAACCTATAATGGGATGATGCGGTATGTTCATTTTGCTATAGCTAGAGAAGCTTCCGTCTACTCACCGGTGAGTTTGAGCTACTTTAATTATTTTTAGTTCATGTTTTTTTTCTTTCCTAATAACTATCGTGCATATATCTACCTGAATTGTGGGTTTCAGAGCCTAGAATCGTATTCTAGCTATGTCGACATGGGAAAATGATGAACAGGAGCTTCACGGTTTTATCTAGTTATTTGATTTTATGATTGCCTTTTGATACTTATACGTTATAAAATCTAACCCTTTTTGTGCTATGATCTTTAAAGTAGGTTATTTTGGAGGAATATTTTGATGTATTAGAGAACAGCTTTGATTATAAGTTAACTAAGAAATATATATGTATTCAAACAGTAAGGTGGGGTTTAGTGTTTCATTTTCTTCTAACATTAATTCGTTGATGAGTACCTTTAGGCCTGTTTGTTGTCTAGCTTTGGATAGTTAGATGGATTAGCCATGAAGAAAATTTATCTCTCCCAATCCTACTTTCATGGGGATTAGGAGGCATTAGTTTTCTTCACAGCTAATCCATCTTCTACCTTGACAAAAAATGCAAGTAGACATCCATTTTTCCATTCAACGTTCTTTGAATGTAGTGAGTTATCCCATCCAAGCCAATCCTAGACAACAAATGTTCATTCTGTGAATTTTGTTTCGCTGATAATAATCTACAGCTCCACTTTTACCTGCATTTGAAAGACTTACTTTAAATCTAATAACATTATAGATTTGAAAGCAATTTATACTCATTTATACATGAAGGGGATCCTATTCTTACTGCATGAACGGCAGATTGTTTTGATTTTTTTTTTTTTTCTTATTTGGAATTACAAGTATTTATCCATCATGTTCATGTGCAGGGCTTCAGTCCACCGAAGAAAAAAGCCAGCTCTAAGCGGGGAAAGAAGAAAGCGAGCTCTAAGCAGAGAAGCAATGCACAAAAGGAAGGGGGAGCAAAGAAGAAAGCGAGCTCTAAGTAGGGAAGCAATGCACAAAGGGATGGTGGAGCTCTAAGCGGGGAAGCAATCCGAGCTCAAATTTAAAAATAGATCAAGCTTTGTGTTAGAAAGAAAAGGCTGGTTATTTCAAAACCGGCTATTTCTCCCCTCTCTCGTCTATCTTCTCCCCCCTAACTAGCGAGAATGTTTGTAATTTTTCATTATTAATAAGTGTATCAATTGTGTTTGTTCTGGAATTGTTATTCATATTATGTTTTTGTACCACATTTTCATTTTCATACCACCTTAGGTGGCATTTGATATGAACAGCCACATCATTTGAATTAATCATATTTTTAAATTTAGTTCATTATTTAATAAACTAATAATTAAGAAAAACTAGTTAATTAAATAATGATTGTGGTATACGAGAAGTCTTTCTCCTTTCTTTTCTTGGGTTTTGCAAATTTTTCAAATGATGTGGTTATCCACATCAGATGTCACCTAATGTTGTATATAAATATGGTATAAAAATATGATATGAATAGCATTACTTGGAATTCAATGAGAAACAATTAAAAGTGCTAGATTTGTAATTAACCTTTTGCATCGGGAAGGAAATTTTATATTGGTAGGGTTTATTTTCAGGTTTATTTCCTTCTAGTCAAAAGAAGATTCAATTAGATTTACTTTCCTATTTAATGTTTTCCCAAACGTAGTTGGATAATTGATTAAGACTAGTTCCCCTCCTATAAAAGGGGCAATGCACTGCTCTATTCCTTTGTGCTTCTTCGGCGTCAATGTCAGACCTCCCATTGGACCTGCTCCTTAAGATCCTTTTACTTCTGCAGCCCAAGGATATGATCCGATGCATGTGTGTTTCCAAAGTTTGGAATTCTTCTATCCGCAACCAGCGGTTCATCACCATCAAATCCAACTTTTGTCGCACCATTATACTTAATCTGTATGATCCCATGCATTTCTTGTCGTTGCCTTTGTACGACAATGAGACGTTGGGGACTGCGGTGAAAATTGCACGGCCGCCGTTGGAACAATCTTGTGATAGCATATTGGGCTACTCTAATGGCTTGTTATGCATTGAACACACCTATGACAACAATAGAGCTTTTGCTTTGTGGAACCCGTCCATTCAAAAGTTCAAGATGATTCCTTGTACAACCACCTCTGAGCCGCACCACCAGCAGCCATCGGAGATGAACGACAAACTGAAGAAGCAAGGGCACTGTGGATTCGGGTATGATTCAGCTAATGATGAATATAAACTTGTGGAAATTGTGGAGTTTTGTAGTATAGATAAACGGCGTTCCACTAGATCTGTTTGTGGAAATTGTGTATACGAGGATAGGGTTGTTGCTAGTTATGAAGTGAATGTTTATAGCCTGAAATCCAACGCGTGGAAAAGGATCCAAAGCATGCCTCCTCGCAATGGCTTTCGACTTCCTCCATTACAATCAGTGGCCGTGTGTTTGAACAGTGCCTTAAGTTGGAAGATGGATTGCCATTTAGATGACGATCGTCCAGGCATGATTCTAACTCTTGATCTTGCCAGTGAGAAATATCGCGAGTTTCCCATCCCAATCCGTGGGCACGAGGATGAGATTTCTTTGGGTTTGCTGGGAGGCTATTTATGTATTTGTCATCGTAATTTTGAGGTTTCAGACTTTCAAATTGATGTTTGGATTATGAAGGAATATGGAGTGACGGGATCTTGGAACCTGCTTTGTTCTGTTGAGAAGTCTGTTGACTCCCACATCAAACCTTTGGTATTTTCCAAGAATGGCGACATGGTACTTTTTGAGATGGACTGTGACCAGCTTGTTTGGTTTGATTTAGAGAAAAACAGTGCGAAAGTTGAATTCTGTCGTAAGCCCGATGACTTTGAGGTAATTGTTTTTGAAGGTGGGGGCTCGGGGAGCCTTTGTGTTCTTCTTGATGGTGATCCTGTAATTGTTGGGAGGCAGCAACAACTGTGTTCGACCTCTGAGAAAGAAGAAACTTTCAATATTGAAGGTGTTCCATCACATATGGTACTCAAAGCAACAGAAAATCCGAGTTTAGTGCTCCTTTCTTTCTTTAGACTAGGCTGTTTTATCTTTGTAATATTGTGTATTTCTTTTTCTTTTTTGTAACTCATATCATTGATCTATGGTAACAGCTAGCATTGGTTATAGTCAGTTTGTTAGTTACAAACTTTGATTCAACTAAATGTATATTGCCTTGCGGACTTTGATTTCTTCTTAGAAACTCATGTTTACTATCATGTGTTGAAAACAACACGAGTTTGACTTGATGCTAGAAAAGTTAGTTAGGGTTTAGTGAAGGAACACATAGCAGCCGATAAGATGTATACAATGATTTATTTACACTCGTTATTCTCGAGATTCAAATATCAAACCTAAGACCTCTAACTTACAAATGAAAACTAGAAATCTAGATTATAGTACTAAGTAGCAGCAGCAGCATACACCAGCAGTGTTTAAGTTTGGGTAGCAAAAATGCTCAATGGTCCTACAATTAGCAGGAAACAAATGGGTACTAGATAGGAAAGTCAATATTGTGATGTGACTCTAGTTGTGAATATGATTTCATGTAATTGATTTTAATTTGCTTGAACAGTAGATCCATGCCTTGGGTTCCAAGCAGTCTAGTCCGTATAAAGTCTTGATAATCTGTCAATTCATACAAATCATCCAGGTTTAAGAAAATCAGTTATGTTTGTTTGCAGAACGTGTAGATTTGTTTTAGGTTTTATGTTTCCTAAACCTAGTAAAACAATTTGATTATATTCTTGCTCTGCTGCTGCGTCAAGTACAAGTACAATGTTAGACATCCTCCCACCGGAGTTGCTCTTTAACATCTCTCTACTTTTCAGCCCGTGGATCTTATTTGATGCATGTGTGTTTTTAAAGCTTGGAATGCTTCCATCCGCAACCAACGGTTCATCCAAGCTCATCTCCAACACTCAATCAAAACCAGCTCTTCTCCCACCATTTTACTTAATCCATTTCATACCTTTGATTTTCCCGTGGCGTTGCCTTTATACAACACCGGTTCGTTCAAGGCCATCGTAGAAGTTGCATCACACCCATTGAGACGCTCTTATAGCCTGGTTTGCATTGGCATTTATGCCAAAAAAAAAAAAAAAAAGATTTTATTTGTGGAATCCGTTCATTCAAAAATTTTAAGAAGATTCCTTTCACAACCACCTATGAGCGACACCTACAACAGTAATCCAAGTTGGACACGCTAAAATGTGTCTATATGTTTGGATATATGATTCAGTTAATGGTCACTATAAACTTGTGGAATGTCTTCTTGGGTATTGGAAGACAATATCAATTAGTATATTTGATTCTCCTTGATTTTAGGATCGACTCTCTTCACATATTCTTGCAATTATATCGTTGATCAAAATTCTAGCAATATCATTCTTTTGCAACCTCAACAAACACCACATCGCCAGCATGAGCGAACCAAACTCTAAAATCAACAAAGACGTCCACTGATGTCTCAGATCCCTATACTTTATTCTATAGATCAACCTGTGAATGTTTGGTTTCCAAAACGGTCCAAGGGAAACTACAGTACTGTACAAAGTTATGGAAGGTTGGAAAAGCTATAACAGAACGCCAAGTTTCTCACCAATGTGCATAACCAATTAACGTTGGGTTGCTTGTATTTATAATACATTAGAGATTACATCCAGGGTTTGAAAACCCCATTTACAAGGAATATTTGAAATTCAAATATACACAGATATGAGAGTTACTCAGCTACAAAATATATGAAAAGTCATAAACTTAACCAACTGTTTGAAGATAAGAATTAGAAGACAACTCAAACACTTGAACTAGTGTTGACTTTAGAGGACTTTGTCTAACATCCCCCCGCAAGCTAACAGGACGGGGAACAACTGGAAGTTTGGACACCAAAAGCTTGAACCTTGATGAAGGCAAACCTTTTGTAAACAATTAGTTTGCGATTTGGTCCTGTGAACATATAAAATTTACCAGAAGTTCACCACGAACAACTTTCTCCCTTACATAATGGTAATCGACCTCCAAATGCTTAGTTCAAGAATGAAACACAGGATTCAATGCCAAGGCAATGGAGGAAACATTATCACACCAAATATGTGGACGAACCAAAGTAAGCTGCAAATCACGAAACAAAGATCTCAAACATGATAGCAGGGCTGCAGTATAGGCCAATTGTCCATATTCAGCCTTTGTACTCGATCTAGAAACTGTTTTCTGCTTCTTGGAACTCCATGAAACCAAGTTGGAACCCAAATAGACACAAAATCCTCCTGTTGAATGCTGTGTATCTGGATATTCCGATAATCGGCAACAGAGAATGTACTGAGAAGCATGCTACCAGGTTTATAAAGAAGACCATTAGCATAAGTAGACTTCACATATCGAAGGATACGTTTCACAGCCGTCCAATGAGTATTGTTTGGAGTGTGCATGAACTGGCATACCTAATTCACGGTGTACGAGAGATCAGGACGCATGATTGTCAAGTAATGCATGCGCTAACGATACTTTTGTAAGTCTATGGATCAGGATGAGGCTTTCCGGCAAACATGCTTAGTTTTTGCCCTGCAGGAACTAGAATGGAAATGGGCTTCGCATCAACAAACTTTGTGCGTTTCAAGAGATCCAAGGCATACTTTGTCTGACTAAGATGCATTTGATGATTGAAATAGGACACTTCAACACCGAGAAAATAGTGAAGAGGCCCTAAATCTTTCATAGAAAAGAGCGTCCCCAACTTCTTTATCAAGTGATGCATTTGAACTGGGTTATTGCCTGTAAGCAAAATATCGTCCACATATATCAACAAAATCAAATAAACTCCTCTTTGATTGAACACGAACAAAGACTAGTCACGCTTGGATTCTTGAAAATCCAAATGAAGCAGGAAGTCTGAAGAACATTGGAACTATGCTCGCGTTGCTTGTTTTAAACCATACAAACTCTGTTGTAACTTGTACACGTGATTAGGATATTGTTTGTCTACAAACCTAACAAGTTGCTTCATGTACATTTCCCCTATCAAGTAGCCATGTAAAAAGACATTTTGAAAATCCAATTGAGGAACTGGCCATTTGTTAGAGACTACAAGACTTAGTACCAAATGAATAGTACTATGCTTGACCTCTAGACTAAACGTTTTGATGTAATCAATGTCGTTTCGATGTAATCAATGCCATGCTTTTGATGAAACCCATTCACAACCAACCGCGCTTTATGGCATTCTATCGAACCATCAGCTCTTCTTTTAATCTTGTAGACCCACTTATTGGGAAGTAAATTCATCATGGGTTGATAAGGAACCAGTTTCCACGTTCCACACCTTTGTAGGGCATTGAACACTTGACCTCTGGACTAAACGTTTTGATGTAATCAATGTCGTTTCGGTGTAATCAATGCCATGCTTTTAATGAAACCCATTCACAACCAACCGCGCTTTATGGCATTCTATCGAACCATCAGCTCTTCTTTTAATCTTGTAAACGCACTTATTGGGAAGCAAATTCATCATGGGTTGATAAGGAACCAGTTTCCACGTTCCACACCTTTGTAGGGCATTGAACTCTTGAACCATAGCATTCCTCCATTCCTGGTGCTTAACTGCCTGACTGAAATATGTGGGCTCAACAACTTTATCATTAGTAACAACATGCAATGCATACTTAGGATTTCTTTTATGGATTCCAACTTTGGAGTGAGTGGTCATTGAATGACCTGGATTAGATGCACAAACTGGTTCATTTTGTTGATTATTTTCTTGTTGAAATGATTCTTGCTCACTGGTGGACCCTAGGGTTAGGGAAGGCACACTAGGGCTAGGGGGAATGGGGGAAATATGGTTGGGGTTAGATGCAGGTATTGTAGGGTTTAAAGGTGAGGGAATAGGAGATGGAGGTGATGCAGCAGTATCTAAGGTAGGATTTAAATTAGTCACGGTGGGATTGGAGGTAGGGACTATAGCATGCTGACGAGGTTGAGTGGATGAGGGAGTCTGTTGATAAATATTAGGAAAAATAAGCAACAAATCAAGATTAGATAAATTACCTGGTGGTTGGACATTTCCTTGTGAAGGTGTGATTTCCTGGAAAGGAAAAGAGTCATCACCGAATAGGACATGGCGAGACAAATAAATTCGTTTCGTGGATAAATCCAAACATTTATATCCTTAGTGATCCAGCGAATAACCTAAGAAAACACATGGTTTTGACTTTACTTGAAGTTTGTTTTGTGTGTATGGTCGTAGCCAAGGAAAACACTGACATCCAAACACTTTAAAAAAAAATCATATTAGGTTTTGTTTGAAATAATTTTTCCTATGGTGGCTCATTCGAAAGGACTCGAGTTAGTAACCTATTTATTATGTATGTCGCTGTTTGACAAGCATCAACCCCATAGTTCGAAGACATATGAGCATGAGACAATGTGACTATAGCCGTTTCAACAATATGACGGTGTTTTCTCTCGGCGAGGCCATTTTGTTCAAGATGTTTGGACATGAAAACCTTTGAGATATCCCATGTGTGTCAAGAAAGCGGCGAAAAACATGACCCTTATATTCTCCTCCTTCATCACACTGGAGTGTTTTAATAGAACAATTAAACATGTTTTCAACCTTTGTTTTAAACTTAATGAAATTTTGAAAAGCCTCTGACTTATTTTTCATTGGAAAAACCCAAGAATAATGTGAATAATCATCAACAAATAATAAATAATAACGATAACCTTCAATGGAAACAATTGGTGAATACCAAACATCAGAATGCAAAAGTTCTAAAGGAAATTTCGAAACAGACTCTGAAGACTTGAAAGGCAATTTTGTACTCTTGCCTAACGGACATGAATGACAAAAACTTACATCAGAGGTGCCACTAATTGGCACTTGTTTATTTGAAATAAAAAACTTTATTACGGAGGAAGTAGAATGACCAAGTCGTGCATGCCACTACTTTGCAGACACTCAAACTCCTAAAAATGCTGAAAAGGGACGATTGGATAATCCACCGCCATTTGGAAATGGGTATAACCCATTCTCACACCTCCCTCAGAAAAGCGTCCTCTGGGTCTTGAGGTCCTTAACAACAACAAAAATGTGACAAAAAAATTAAAATATAGCAATGGTTATCAAGGGTGAACCTATGGGCAGAAATAAGGCTAGTTGAGGCAGAAGGGCAATGAAAAATATTGTTTAGGT